ACATGTATATAGATTTTCTTAATGCATGTACTTATTTGTAGGCCAAACGAAAGAAAATAAAACCATTGACATTCTTAAATTGAAGTTGCCAGATTTCTCCCACCGTTTTGTATAGCCTCAAAAAGAAATCCATGTCATTGTATACCATTCTTTATTGAAAAGTAGCGCAAATTGATTATTTACAACGATTTCTGTAAACAATTTATCTACAGTAGATCTACGCAAATTTAAAGTAAATTGACTGAAAATTGACATTTAATTGACAGTTAAGCTCGGCTAACACATCTAGGAGGGCTATTCCGTGGATTATCTATTCAAAAACCGCTCGGATAATGGGATGATCGCCCGTCTTACTGTTTTCGATAACCGCTGATAAAAAGTCTGATTTTAAGACCTGTGTCACTTCTATATTATAAAAAATTTTACATTTTTTTCTATTTAAAAGTGCTTGCCGTTGCAATTATGATTTTATGTGAGAAAAAGAAAAAAAAGAGGAATTGTTACAGAAATAATGAGCGTAAAAAGTAGGATATCTGAGGAAATGTATGTTAAAGGTTTGTCAGTAAGATTTTTGTCATGCTTTTTGAAATATTTGTTAATACTTTTTATTACTTTTTATGCGATCGCAGAGAGATTTTCTTGTGAAATTTTTTCAACAAACCTTACTGTTTTCTTTTCTTTTCTTTTTTTTTTTTGTAAAAATATATCTTAACAACATATAATAGTGATTTATTGTCAGAAAAATCAAAGACCTTTTTTTCTTTTGATAACTGTTGCATTACTGTAAATATTTTTCTTGTGACTGTACATATTAACTAAATCAATAAGCCATGTAAAAGTTAGTACTTGTAAATAAGTATCATGATTATGATAAAATTAATGTTAATTGGAAATAATGTCCAAAATTTGATCTCTTTGTTGCAAAAATCAAAAGTAAAGTGTAATTTCATGGTCTGAGTAAACTGTTAGACACGCGACTTCTACGTTTTGATCAAATTTAGTTAATAAAGGTAACTAAGATTTTACGAATGTTAAAATCAATAGGAAAAAATCCTTTGTCGGCCGGAAGTGCCTTGTAATAAACAGACTAATACAAATACAACATAAAATAGTCGTATCGATTCCGTAATGGATCTTTTGCTATTCCTACATTTGACAAGTATTGAAAGATAATGGCTGTATCCAAAATCGAATTTTAGTTTTCATCAATACAATTCTTGCGTAAAAAGTTTCAAGGTCAAGGACACTCACTAGGGGTCACGTGCATTTCATGGATATTAATTTTCGATCGTATTTGAGTAAAACAGTGCAACTGACATCTCAGACATGTCAATATAGAAGTTTCACTTTTCAGTTGTTGTTGTTGTTGTTTTGTTTTGTATATTGAATATACACGCCACAATGAAAAATAGAAAAATGCGGTAAGGTACCTTTAAGAATATGATTTGGTCGGTGAGGTTCTTTAATAGTACTGTTTCTTTCGCACAAACAAAGCTGTAACCAATTACACGATTCGTGCTTTTGCACCTGTTTTTTGCATACATTCAGACCAAGAATGTAACGGTTTGGTATTTGCGTTCCAATTTTATTTCGTATTTTTTATCGTACATAATTCCTGATAAATATCAGCTGTTTTCTTATATTATGTTTTCATTATGTTTTCATAGCCGCCTCATTAATGAAATACTTGTGTAGCAAAGTAAATTGATATCTATTTTAAAATATACGGTTGAAGGTTCGAACTCTTTTAATTAGAAGCATTTGACACGGTCGCCTTTTTTGTGATGATAGCCTTTCCAAAAACATTAAACAAACGAAACATTTTATCAATATTTTACGAGATATACGAAGACGGTGGTTGCACAGTCTGAACATTTTCTTGCAAGTTATCCAACAAAAATATTTAACCAGTGCAATCACTTGATTGATTTTTGGCGAATTAAAATTTTTGTTACAGTCAACAGATGGTGCATACATCCAGAGATTAATGAAACAAAATAACAAGAATGTAAACAATCTCTTGAGGCACAAAACCTTTTTGGTTTCACCCATTGCTTGAAAAAAAAGTAGTTCCTCGACACGTCTGCTGCTATTTTAGCACTGTCTCACCTGTCCGTCGTAGTATTTCATGTGTGTTTTAATAAGAAATAGTTCCACTTAATTTAGAGCGAGGTGGCGTTATATGAGTTTCATTTCACGTTGTCAGTTATTATTAAGAATAGTTAAGATGTTTTTCTTTGTTATTTTGACGAGGATTACTGACAGGGTTTTTCTAGTTATTTTAACGCCAATAGCTTCCGGTCTAGACTAATATCGCTAACTTGCTTCTATTATTGCAAAATTCATACTTTCTAATTTCCCCTTTGATTTTTTAAAAGATTTACACCACATTGTTTTCGCTGAAGAAGGTGGTTATTAGATGTGTCAGCCTTGTGCTATTTTTAACCGACTGATTGTATGTTTTACAAATGAAATTAAATTTTATGTCTTTGGTTTTACCCGGAGTCGTTACATGTTTTTGTTAATGGGTGATCTAAGGACGATAACTGTCTATTGCATATATACGAACATCGTCGGATACCCACGGCGAAACATTAACATGTTAATCAACCATGGGTATTCGACGATGATATACGAGTCAACATAATGGGTTTGCGACCAGCATCCGCGCAGTCTGATCAGGATCCATGCTGTTCGCTTACAAACCCTATAACAAGTAGAGAAACTGATAGCGAACAGCATGGATCCTGATCAGACTGCGCGGATGCGCAGGCTAGTCTGGATCCATGCTGGTCGCAAACCCATTATGTTGGTTTTGTCATGACGCGGCTCAATTATTATGTTTTATATTGTATTGTAATAAACTGATTTAGATGAATCGATATGGCCACCTCGTAGGGTTCATTTTTATCTTTTATATATAAAAATATGATTTATTTGAATAATAATGATTAATGATGATAAAATTATGACATTTGACCTGGCAGTGTCAACTCGCATATTTACGAGTATGAAACACAACGAAAACAAACAAAAAATGTTCATGATACACAACTGTAACCGTCTCAGTTTTGTCGAAAAAAAGGTAATCCGAAATTTCCTGATTAATCCAAATTTGACATTGAATGTCAGGGTCATTTAGGGGGTCAAGGTCATAAATAAACTTTCGTCAAGGGGTATGTTGTGTTCTTGCTGACAATTATAATCTTGTGGGGAAGAGTAAAGTTATACGCAAAAAAAAAATCAAACAGGATAGACAAACACGACACAATTTATAAAAAAAACATGATGGACAAACATAAATGACAAACAGACTGACAGACAGAACAGGACAAGAGATTCAACTGATGTTATGGCATACAAATCATAACTTATGCACTGGCGCTTTTGGCTCTTGTTTAAACAGAAACATTGTAAGAGAAAAAAAAGCATTATTTCTTGATTTAAATTTAATCAAATTGATTTTAAATTAAAATTATCTTTGCTGTAATGAAAGCCTACTAATGTTTTGATCAAGACCAGGAATAGCAGATAGTAATTTTGATGCAATTTTTAGAGAAACGAAATGTTAAAACAGAAAGTGTTGATCATAAATTTCTTTCGTATTTACATAACAGAGACAACGTTAAGTGAATTATATTCTTGACAGATCTCTTGCAATCAAGCGGTCTAGCAATGTAACCGGCCGAATTGATGGTCCAATGTTCATAAACAAAGAGAGTTTCCGGGGAAAGCTGGCGTATTTGTAATGAAATAATTAAGTAAACATTCTGACAATTCAAAGACTTGATAATATATCTTTCTTATAGCGTTTGAGCAACTGGTATTTTTCTCTCGTCTAGGTAAATTGCTTGTGTAAATAAAACATACTTATATTGTATCACAGATGCTGACACGCAGCTCCACCCTGTACAACCGGTAACATGAAAATGCGGACAATTCAAATTTGTTATACGCTGTCAGTACCTGCTACAGTAGTACATTGTGTGTCTAAATACTCTCACATAGGAAAGTAAGCTTATGGAAATAAAAAAAGCCTAAATGAAATTCTTACATACATTACACTATACAATAATATATGTTAATACAATACATTTGAGTTTTTCATGGGCTCTAATTAAATGAATTTAATCTGAATTCATAGTAGCTAACATGGTTGACAGATTCGCTACCATCACTTGTCCAATATTTTTATTTCTGTAATGGAGCTATATTGATTTAAAAAAAACAGTGCGCACGTGTGTCTTTGACGATGCACGAAGTCAAACCTAATACCATCATACATCAGTATTTCAATAAATCCCCTGTTACTTTAACTGTATAAGAACAGTGTTTTTTTCATGTGTTTTTTTCGTGGTCTATTTGGGCCAGTTTTATGTTTACATCCCTATATTGTACCGATACTATCTATCTTTTAAAATACAACCTGTCAACAAAGACCACGTGTCCATCTATGGTCGTTATAGACGAGTTTTGGTGTATATTAAATTCTGTTTAAAACACTGTAATCCAGTGCACGAGTTAAACGTGTTTTATCTTCTAAGGCTGTGGCAGAAGTTTTCAAATAATCGGAACACCTTGGTTATGTAACATAGCTATAGACAAAAATATTTTATTTTCATTTAAATAAACATATCAGAAATAAAACTCAACTTGTCCACATCTTTAACGTTTTAACTTTCTGTAAACAAGAAGTTTTATCATTCAAAAGTCATTTTCTTGGTTGTGTTCCATTCCATGTCGAATAAAATTGCAAAAAAAAAATTGTTACTATTTTCTCGATCGTAATTCAGACTGCAAGAATTTGATGTTCAGCAGATTTTCATACATAATCAAGCTTGTAGCAGACACAGGTTTGATTATGTTGAGTATATAACTGGTGCACGTGCCAGTGTTAAGTTGCTTCAATGAACAGACAATGGTTGGAAATGATTTCCTATTTATCTCTATCCTAGTGAAATTTTATGATCTTTCATTAACTTTTATCTGTTTAATTTCAGACAGACGGCAGCAATTTTGAGAGCTGATGAAAATACCGAAATTGAAACTCTTGGGATGAAGTGTTGACGGTTATATGTGTGGAATTTACGTAATCTCTGGATTAGACTATCAATCTCGTTCTACGACTGTGACAGAATTCCTGGAATAACCGTGCAGTTATTGTTTTTACAATAATGGAGCTTGTGACGCGAAGTTCTAATTTGAACTCTCTGTGGTCTATAGTGTACTGTTGTGTTGCGCTGGCTGTGCATTGTTACGTCACATATCAAGGTGTGTCACGTTACCGGAAGTTAAACAATGAGGATTTATGGGGTGGTGAAACGCCGGGTGAACTTCGGACATACATTGCGCTGATTGTTTTAGCGCTTTTATTTCTACCCCTCTTTATTTTTTTCTCGTTTTTAAAAGTTGGAAATACAGCCAATGATGGAACCAAACTAGGCAGGGACCATGCCCTAGATGCGAACTCTAATACACTGGGGTCCAAGATTAAAAATGAACGATTCCGTCATTTTTGGGAACAGTCCCCTCCATTCTCCCCTTTGCTTCAGATGTTGTCTGCGTTTCTCGTGCTTCTACCGGAAATGGTTTTAACAGCAGCAGAAGTAAAACATGGAATAATGGCATCAGGTTTGTTATCGTGGAGATCTATTATTATAAATGATTTTAGCTGAAATTGCTTAATGTTATTATGCTCCCCGAAAACTTTCGGGGGAGCATATAGTCGGCGCCTTGTCCGTCTGTCCCTCTGTCTGTCCGCCGTTGTCTTGTCCGGAGCATAACTTGAATACCCTTGGAGATAATTTGTTTAAACTTCATACAGTGGTAGAGAGCATTGAGGGGGAGTGCAGCGTTAAAGAACCATAACTTTTTTTTGCCCGGTTTTTGAATTATCTCCCCTTATAGAAAAATCTTGTCCGGGACATAACTCTAAAACTATAAAATATATCAACATGAAACTTTGTAGGTGAATAGATCTCAATGGGTAGATGTGCAGTGCATAAGAACAATAACTCTTTTTGTCCTAATTTTGGAGTTATTGCCCTTTGTTAATTTTAACACTTTGAACTTTGTCCGGAACATAACTCTAAAACTATAAGAGATATCAAGATGAAACATTGTAGGTAGATAGATCTCATTGAGTAGAAGTGCAGTGCAAAAGAACCATAACTCTGTTAAGCCTCATTTTTGAATTATCTCCCCTTTTAGAAAAATCTTGTCCAGGACATAGCTGTAAAACTATAAGAGATATCAACATGAAACTTTGTAGGTAGATATATCTCAATGGGTAGATGTGCAGTGCACAAGAATCATAACTCTGCCTTGCCTAATTCTGGAGTTATTGCCCTTTGTTTATTTTTACTTTTTGAAGTTGTCCGGGACATAACTCGGAAACCATAAGAGATATCAACAAGAAACTTTGTAGGTTGATAGATCACATTGATTAGAAGTGCAGTGCAAAGAACAGTAACTCTGCCTTGCCTAATTTTGGAATTATTGCACTTTGAACTTTTTCCAGGGACATAACTCTGAAACTACAAGAGGTGTACTTTCCTGTGTCCAAAACCTATTCGGGGAGCATCACCCGGCTCAAACCGGGCTCTTGTTTTTAAGGAATTTAACAGACTGAATTTCTTAAACTGATTCGTCGAGCTTCCAATTTTTTGGAACTGTCCATTATCAATTTTGGGGATATCAAGACTAAAATTTGAATTTGATAATAAGTTTGATCCTGGTCAGACTGTATGGTACCAACAGAACTGAGTGAACAAACGGGCTTGACTTTATAATTTACTGTGAGTGAATGTTGCAGAATGAGTTTTCTTAATTGTAACAGTAACTGTTAATTATAAAGATTGAATTACGTGTAATTCACGAATATGTCAAAATCTCAGACAAAAAAGATGACGTAGCATCATTTATAGACGTATAGTGTTCAAGAGAGTATAACCCGAGATAACTTTGTAGAAAGATTTAGATATTTCTTGGCGCATCAGTAGGACAGCTTCGGAATGTTGCACGACGTTCACTTAATTATGGTTTTAATGCATATAATTCTAGGCCTCCAGAACACTGCCAGTGTTGTGGCGGATACAGATCAATCTTGACAATTATACTGATATATTCGCCCCAAAATATATACTATGCTTTACTGCCAATTATTTTTTCCTCCTGCGGAATTCGTCCAAATAATAAACTCAGAATAACCTTTATTGGAAGGAGATACATTAAAGATTTTGATTTAACATTTAAAAGAAAGATCCGCTTCTACATCCAAACAACTCTTCATGAATATCGTTATGAATTCGGCGAAATTTTAGCACAACTTATCAGAACTTGGGTATGGGGGTAAAATGGCTAAAATTTCACAGCGCACTATGTTTCGGGCAGACGGGACTGCCGCGGTCGTCAGAATATAGTATTAGCGTAGCATAACGTGACAGTGAAACCTCGATATATACGAGTCGTATTCAAATTTGGAAAAAACGCACCAAACGAACAAGAAAAGAAAAGAAACACTGAAAAAAATATCGTTTTATTCTAAAGGTAGGCTTTCGCAGTGCTTGATATGAACACGGAAATATTTAGGCCTGAGCAATGCGGGCAAATAAATCAGTTTCCCATAAATCAAAATAAACGGGCTTTCAAACGGGATTAAACTTTATAATAATTCACATTCATTCCAACGAATATTAGCAAAAAAATTATTGTGAATTTATCAAAAAGTGTTTCACTTTAAGGCAATTCATGCGTTATATTAACATAGGCGGTGTTTCTATTGATCTTTGTTATTTACACCAATTGAAAATAAATAATTATAATTAAATAAGAGAATTCTTTTGCTCGTGTATTTTTTCTCTCAACATTTTTCAATTACTACTCTATTTAGCAAACGATTTCTCTTTTAGTATTAAGATTGCCGATTTCATACCAATAAATTTAATGAGAACTACCTTAGTTAATCTTAAAATGAAAAAGGTCACACTTAACACCCACCGGTACGGGATGTTTTAACTTCAAATAAAATCTATCTATATATTAAGTTAATTGACTTTATTGAATAACATGTTATCATAATGAGGTTTAAGTACTGACTCATTGCAAGGGATATTTATTTACTGTTAGGAATTTACTTTGGTTAAGCATTTCCTTTGCTTATGTACATTTTACTAATTGGAGTTTTAGCTTATATCGCGCAATTATTTTCTAACACACTTGTAAACGAAATCAATTTTGTAGCTTATTATATTATACAGTTGCTAGTTATAATACAATATTATGAAAATCAATCTGTAGTTTTTGAGTTAAGAATGAATTGCTTAACGTTCGTGTCAAGTTATCAGTCACGTGCGGCACGCGTCAGGGATCATCTGGTCACGTCCAGCACACCACGTTCTGCCAGGACGGCCGGAAAGACCAATTTAGCATCATAGTGTCCAAATATATTTCTTTCTGGTCGTGTGGCCAACGTATCGTACTCTGGCAAAGGGTCGCGTGGCTGGCGTCATACTGTACATGTATACCACGTGATCTAACTCAAATATATAAAGTGCATTCGACCGTTCGGGTAAAGTGGATGGGAAATCAAGCAAACGCGTGGGAATTTACAAAAACATATTGTTAAATTCTGTTTTATTAATGGAAAATGAAATTGATTAGGTTATCTTTTGAAAGTCAACCATTAATTTACACACTGAGAGATATTACTTCGATACGCGTTATTACATGTTTATTCAAGTCTAAAAAAAAGTTTTTCAACAAAAAACGATCGGCAATTAAGCGTCGTAAAAATATCAATTTTAAGTAAATGTCCTTAACAAGATATTTCATATGAATGCAAAGTTGTATGGGAAGTCTTTTGCGTTATGAAATTACATACAAATTGAGGTAGTGGAAAAAATAATTTACACGTTTGACAATAAAGAGGGTAATTTATACTGTATTTAATTCTATCATACACTGAAGAATGTCTTCGTAAGCACGCGTGAATTTCATTTTTAAATTGATGGCGTTAAAGCAGACAATTTCATATTTTAAATTAAATATGTTAAATTGTTAAAAAATGTTCAACGCATCATTCATGAAATTCTATATTTCAAGTAAGCGTCCCTACAACCAACCGGTGACAGAAAAATGTTGCACGTTGTCAGAATCACAATAGCTAAGATGGCGAGAAATTCAAGAGCTTTTGAACATAAAAGAAATAATAGACAGCGGTTTATACAAATAAGCTGTAAGTTGTCTATAAAAACCTTAAACGTGGATACAACGAGCGTGGGAAACTTCTATAGATTGCTATAATCTATTTATTCAGATTTTATCTAAATACATGCATCTATATGAATGTAAAATGGCAGGAAATGATAGTTTAATATTACATTTCTAAATGGTAATCATATATATGTTAAAATATGGAAAGACATGGATAAGATACAGATAGATAAAAAAGTTATACACCTATATTTACGCTATCTTTTGTATCTTTTATATATTTTATATGCAAACGAAAGAGCTGTAATTCATTTTGAGGGTTAATAAAAAACTAGAAATAGTCCATATGCATGAATAAAATTTAAAATTTCGGGAGAAAAAAAATGCAGGTTTAAACGAGAGACACATATTTTTGATCTAATATGTTTCATTGTGGAAAATGTAAAACAGTTTCCATTTTTCTACGCGGATGAAAAACCTTCTATTCGATAGATTAAGGTTAAAATGAAAATGACTGTGAAGTGTTTCTTAGTGTTAGAAAGAGCAGTGTTGTTGTTAATGCCTATAAGTATATATATCTTTTTATTGAATAATTAAGTATATAGCAGATCAATCCATTAAGATAATGTTCTCGATCAATAAAAAATCGTCTTATAGATGTAAATATAAAAGAGAAAAAGAGAGAGAAAGCCGGCATAAAAAATGTCCCGTTTGTTTCCGTGTAATCAATAAACAAAGATATGCTAAGGAATATAAATTAGACCGTCTCTCTGATGAGAATTCCGGGAACGCGCGTTCGTGTACAGACCCATAATTAAGGCACGATTAGTATTACACCAAACACAATGATAATGTTTTATACAGGTGTATAGTCAATGTAGCAGATTATCAAACAAAAAGGGCGAAACTTTTGATTCGGTATATGAATGATAGATATTATAATGACTATACCGTATGAAATTATCTTAGTTACATTTTCATTAAAAAAAAAGAAGAGAAAAAAAAAAGATATTACGATAATAGAATTACGGGTACTACCGATCATTGGCTAAATCCAGCTGAAGGACTAAATGATGGAACAGCAATATACCGACTCCTGCACCTACCCAACCCTCGTCTAACTTTACCGAACTCACAAATTCTCCAAAAACCTCATTTACTATAAAATTATTAAATTAGTAGCTTGTAACTATATTGTGAAATAAATTGCTGCTCCGATCTGTTTTGTAATGGTAGTCCAAAGGACATAGCAGATTGTTCTAATTAGTTAATGTCATTTGATCCTTCTTGATATAATGTTTTATTACATTTATATCTCCACACAATGATACAAAAATATATTTTATACAAAATACCTCGTAAAATATCAATACAATAATCATTTATGTAAGGTTTCCTCCTGTACTGTATTACTTGAAGTACTTACCTATCATTGAACATTTGCCAGCAGATAAATGGTACAAGTACTGCGTGACGAAGCAGTATAACAATTAAATGTTCAAGATTTGATTTTCTCCCCTATTGTGTAAGTCGGTATAATTGTCAAGACTACTAGCTATTGAATGCATCAACAAAGCAATCTGACATTTGATCTTAACCAAGATACTATATGCAAGATGTACATATACATGTATGTACAGTCAAACTTGTATGTAAAAAGCTATGATTGGGACAAAAAAAAATACTTTTTGAGGTCTGGTATTAGAGATTATATGTTTTACTAGTCTTTTAAACGAAACGAGTAAATATGCAGCGTTTCACGCAAATTCATGTAATATCTACAAGTAAAGACCATAGAGAACAAATACAGACTTAAGAAATAATTTAATTTCATATAAAGAATCTATCTTTTAACAATACACATTCATTAAAAAAACTTGATTTGAACTAAACAATTGCGTGACGTTTTCAGGCATTTGTACAGATTAGGTTATTTGAAGCGTTATTTGATTCTACTTTCAGATGCCGTTTGGACGTGTAACCTTGACTTTCTGTTCGAAACTGAGCGCGCGGGAACCAGCAACATTATTGGCCAATCAAACGTGACGGTTCTTTCAAACCTTTCTTTCTACGTGGTGCCCACACCAAAACCTCCTGTCGGCGGCTGGACGCATGATTCTACTTTACACGTGGCTTATGTATACATGTCAGCCAGCTTGATCATGTTCGCCATCCGATATTCGGCAGTGTTCTGGTTTACAAATAAAGTATTCAGCGCCATATTTGCGACCCAGTTACTATTCTTGGCAGTGGAATCGCTCTTTGCGCATTGTGGCATAGAAATTCTGTACAAGCTCTCGATAAATTTTGAGCTGTACAAAGAAAATATTAACATTATTCTATCACCTGGTGTCGTCCTTTTTCTGTACATATTGAGCGGGGCAATACTTATATTCTCAACATTTTTCGTATACAGCTACGGTGCTATATATTTTCAAAAGAAATTTGCTATAATTGATAAACGCCATCATCCGGAAACATACCGGAAAGAGACGGTGATAGTGCAAGGTAGTTGTCAGGATTATAGAACTCATACTTCTGCAATGGTATCTCTTGTCCTTTTAGGAATTCTAAAAGGACCAATTTTATATGACCTTGTTAGTTTATATAGAGAAACAAAAGACTCGCTTATATTATCAGTTATTGTTGTTGACGTTTGTTATCTTGTATTCTGGGTAATATTCTGGACAATACTTACACTGAAGCAGCAATGGCAGTTCAGAATTCTAGACTATATCCCATTAAATCAGCCTGTTTTTATGATATCCAATGAAAACATTGTAAAAAGCGCATCATATCACGGCGGGTCAATCGAACTTCATGAATCATGTAAGAAAAAACGCCCAAGCTCTCTTCCGAGCGATTTAACAACTAGTGAAAGTGGGTTTGGGGATGCAAATTCATCAGAAGATGAACGAGATAGATTTGAAATCACTTTACCAACACTTGCCGAAGTTCCAGGTTTGGTATATTCTAGGAGGAAAGGTTCCACGCACTCTTTAGATAGAAGAAGTCGTAATCGTAGAAACGGGAACCAGAGAGTTACATTTCACGAAACAGTTAAACGTAGTACGTCTACAGACAGCGAATTATGTGCAAGGCGACAGCTTAATATTGCAGCAGACGTGCATGGCGGACGCCATTCCTCAAGACCGCGTTCTCGATCTGGCAGAGACGAAAGGGCAGCAACACCATTAGAAATTCTTAGTTGCCAGAGACCGGGATCCAGAAATTCATTTGGAGCGCCCCCTAGTGGCCCGGGACCTGCTGTTTTAAACAATGCTTTATATAAACATAGTACGTCATATTCGGATCTAGGAAGTACAAGTGATTACAGTGAACAATCAAAGTCCATCAATACACCTGACAATAGTTTAGATTATAACGATCTGACCATTAAAAATGACTATGCATATGGTGCAAGGCTCAATCTGAAGTCCTCAAATATGGAAACACAAACCCTTTCGCCAAATAACAGCAGTAATGGCGGCAGATACACTGACTCTAATAAAAAACCAATGAACGGGACCCAAACACATTCGCCAGTGAAAGATACAAATAAAACTGTTCAAAATGGAGAGAAAAGAAATAATGAACAAAGTCGGAACCGTCTCAGTCCTCGAACTATCGAGTTTATAGACAAAAATCACGAAATTACTCTGGGAAGACGAGATTCTGCAAATTATTCACTGACGTCATCACAGGAAACTGCTTCAAACGATTCTGATCAGGTTCACCAGACGCTTTGTAGCCAAGTATAAGAATGCAGCACTATTGCTTTTTGTTTTGGCTAAGTTTCCCTTTTTTTAAGTTTATTTTGTTTACATGTCATCCATTTTTATTTTAACAATGTGTTATATGCACTGCAGCATGAATGATAAGCCGTGTTTTACCTGGTCATTATCAGCCATGGGTAAAGTTGTAAAGTTAGTTTTACCTGGTCATTATCAACCATGAGAAAGTTAGTTTTATCTGGTCATCATCAGCCATGAGTAAAGTAAGTTTTACCTGGTCATTATCAACCCGGACAAAGTTAGCTTCATCTGGTCATTATCAATTATGGGTAAAGTAAGTTTTACCTGGTCATTGTCAACCATGGGTAAAGCTAGTTTTTTCTGTTCATTATAAATCGTGAGTAAAGTTAGTTTTACCTGGTCATTGTCAACCATAGATAGAGTTAGTTTTTCTTGGACATTATCAATCATGGGAAAATTAGTTTTACCTGGGTATTGTCAACCGTGTGTTGAGTTAGTTTCCATGATTGTATTTTCATTTTTCATGTTCAAATTTCATTTCCATAAACAATATTTTTCATTTTCATAACTCATTTCTATAAATTTCATTTTTCATTGTTAACAAACATGCTATTTTTCATTTTCATATTTCATTTCCACAAACATTTTACAGTTGTATCTCATTTTCATATCTCATTTCTATATATTTCTTTTTTCAAATTTCATCATTAACAAACATATTATATTTAATTCAGATCATGTTATTTTGCTGTAAGAAATGTTCATGCCAAACTTTACAAGCTGACCAGCAGATCTAGCATGTACTTTTGTTGATATTTATTTGATGTTTTAATGCTGCATGTTGTTTCTTTTTTTTAAATTTTAAATATTTTTATTGAATAAAGTGGTTTCAAAGATGCATGTCTGCATGTTAGCTTATCTTTCATTACTGAATGCAAATTATGTACCATACAGAATGCAGTTTTACCCATAAAACTGTGTGGTATTTAAGAACTACAGTGTAGGGGTTAATACGAGAAACCGGAAGTTGTAACATGTCATATTTTCTGCTACCGGTATTAGAAAATTACTCTAATATATATTAAAAAGCCCATCGATCATGCCTGAAAAAGGCTTTTTATTATATACTTATAAATGAAATATTGAGAAATATTGATGAAATAAAATGCATATTTTCATTTTCCGTATTTTCACTGTAAAAATTAATTTTTCACTGCAGTGAAACATATTTTCCGTATTTTCACTGGTGTGTTGCCGGACTACTTTTCTTTTAAATTCTGCCAGTACACGAAGTTTAAGGGAAAGTCTTTCAAATTTTAATGTCAAAAAAGAGAAAAATGTATATAATAAACAGAAAATTCAAGTTTTTTCTATAAATACATGATTTATTTTCATCTTGTGGCATGAAAATTACCATATTTCACTCGTGGCTACCGCCACTCATGAAATATTTATTTTCATACCACTCGATGAAAATAAATCATGTATTTATAGAAAAAACTTGAATATCCTCTATATATTTTTCAAAACTTTTTTTTGGTGTCCTGTTATAACTTCCAAAAAAAACTCATTGGCCAATTACGTGAACCATCATCTTTTGCTTCTGTTGCTTTTTGGCAATAAGTACCGTTATAGTAAATATTTATTTTGTATGGAAGTCAAATTACAGCATGTACTTTGTTTACGTTTTGATACTTTAATAACAAATAATACGAGTATTACATTCAACGCTACTGTTGCCCTTTACAAAGAAGGAAAAATGATTTCGTATCTGAGACATGGTGCTTTCATGGTTATTTTTATATAAAAAAGACCAAATGAGATATATGTGGTGATGATGAAGAATGTCAAATATATTTGAGCCGCGTCACGACAAAACAAACATAGTGCGTTTGCGACCAGCATGGATCCAGACCAGCCTTCGCATCCGCGCAGTCTAATCAGGATCCATGCTTTTCGCTATCAGATTCTCTACTTGTAATAGAGTTGGTAGGCGAACAGCATGGATCCTGATCAGACTGCGCGGATGCGCAGGCTGATCTGGATCCATGCTGGTCGCAAACGCACTATGTTGGTTTTGTCGTGACGCGGCTCATTTCTTTATATTCATTAAAAGAAATTTAGAGACTTATTATACCCCAACCCACCTTAAAATAAGTGGGGGTATATTGCTTTGCACGTCGGCCCGTCGGTCGAGCTGTAAACCAAACGGTTTCCGATCAATAACTTAAAAATACCTGGGCCTAGGAACTTAAAACTTGGTCTTGTTATCATTGTTTCTTCTTTAAACTCATTGAATCTTGAATCACAAATACTTTAGCTTAATTCATTCACCTTAATCAGTATCAACATTCTCAACAATTTCAAGCGTAAAGTCTTTGTCTAAAAGCTTATTTACAGACTAATTTTTCAATGTCGCTTAAATCTGGTGATAAATTTGAAGATGCTGAAGCACAATGTATTCCCCTTATTTCATTACTGTTAGGGTGAACATGAAAAGTATTTGGAATAACTCCATCTTTCGCGGAACAGTTCCCTACCTTCGGACTTAAGGATTTAAACTTGAGGGAAAAGTTCTCGGATGCGACCGCCCATACCTTTTCCCTAACGATTTCCTTAACGATAATATGTCTTGAATAATGCAAGGCGTTCTCCACCGCTGTTTTCAATTAATCTCGTGATGAAGTTGTCACTAACTTGCGGAGAAAGTGATGTAGAACCTAGAGACAATAGTTAGACAAATAACCCATATCATATAACATAAATACTGTCAAATTAGGCCTGAACGAAAAGTTGATATTCCTAGACACACCTACAAAGAGCCAGCATTTATTGAATCAAGCAAAAATACGGAAAAGAAACACTGTAAATCTTACTAACTCCTTTTGAACTGAATATAAAATAAGTATCTATGTCGTTTCCTCATAAGATATAGGATTGATAATTGAGCCGCGTCACGACAAAACCAACATAGTGGATTTGCGAGCGACCAGCATGGATCCAGACCAGCCTGCGCCTCCGCGCAGTCTGATCAGGATCCATGTTGTTCGCTATCAGTTTCTCTACTTGTAATAGAGTTGGTAAGCGAACAGCATGGATCCTGATCTGACTACGCGGATGCGCAGGCTGGTCTGGATCCATGCTGGTCGCAAACCCATTATGTTGGTTTTGTCTGAGGCGGCTCATTTCATAAAGTAATGCAACTTGGGTAAACTCGTACTGTACAATGCGCAATGTAACTACAACAACACAAATAACTCATGTTGACACTTTGTTTAAACCGTTTTGTTTTGTTTTGTTTGTTAGTATACGTGTGGGGGCGCGCGTGTGTGAGTATGCTTGTCTTTTTTCTGATGGTTTTCTGATTTAATATGTGTAAAGTTAATTCAACAAAGTACGTTCCACGTTCAGTTCTCATAATGTGTTAATTTTAACGTATCAATTTAACTTTGTTACGTCTTACCAGGACAATCTCCACGGTTGTCACAGAAACTGCCTTGGTTTACCTTATTTTATACTCATTACTTATTTTTTTTTAAATTACATTTTGTTTAAGCTCTGAATCGTCATAAAACAAAAATCTCGAATTTTTAACAAAAACTGTAGTGTGAAAACAGTAATTACGTAAATGAGCGAATATGGGACATTAAAATGCCGAAATAATTTCAATTCCAGGCCAACAGATCATAGAAAATGTCTGATTTGCGTGTCTATTAATCGCTTTGATAGTTAGGGGTCCTTTGAGTTTAAAACAGAATAAAACAGAACCACTTCCATCTCTGTTTACTCTGAATAAAAATGTTTGAAGTCTAAATGTATTCTTGTAATGTATAAAATGAACAATATATAAAACTAGATATATATACATGTATACAACAATGGAACAAAAAAGGGAAGTTAACGCGAAGAAGGGGAGAATTTAACACGGTCAATAGTAATTAAACTAATATATAAACAGTTGTATTTCTATGTTTTTATTGACAACTATGTTTCTTTTACTTTACAGCAAAAGCCAGCAGGTTGATGCTACGTTTGGGAGACAGAAGGCAAAATTGATGTAGTGAAACAAATCTATTTCTATAGTAAAACGCAAAGCATGTGTTTTGTTAATAAAACAAACACGGAGTCATTTTCATAAATACAAGAACCGCGAAACACAGGGGCAGACTTAATCAAGAAAACTCAAGTAATACTGTGCTATTGATAAAACAAACACGGAAACATTTGCGTCTGTGCTGTTGATGATCTTTCATTGTAATTCCTCGGATATTATTCATAATGTCCTTAAGTTTGGAGGAAAGGGCCGAGAAGATGCGATTGGATAACCGAACACGGGATAATTTGTATACGTGTTGTTAATAAAACAAACACGGAGCCATTTTCATAAATATTTTATTAACCCTGTTTTCTCCGCTGGATATTCAGCTTTTATATACCAGTAAGGTACATTATCCTGCGAATATTATTGCAAATTTTTCACGTACTCTGCGTTTTAAGTACATTGCAAAATTTGAATGATATGTATTGTAATTGGGATTAAACGCGTGCTGATTTCTTAGTTACCAAGCTTATAAGACAATACATATATTACTATAAAGAATTTGTGGATTATATGATTAGTTCGGTCATTTTTTTACAAGTTCTTTCTTTACTTTTTAAGTATAGCTTATGATTATTCTAAACCAAACTTTGAGGTAATTTATTTAATGAAAGGTAATAATGATGTACAATATTTAATGATATATTTAAACCACAACCCATGTTTTATTTTTTCGCACACCTGCTTCCTTTTATTCATTCGTATATTAAACCATTTATTTATCAAATATACATGTATGTTTAACTCATTGGTGTATCACGTTGTGCTGATTTTTTTCTTATCATTTATTTAATAAAGCATTTTAGATAAGAAACTTAGACTTGTTTTCTGCGATTTCTTCAAGGGTCTTAACTCGAAGATATGCTGCAAAATAAACCCTGCATAATAATGTCCCTTGGAATACTGAGAACTAGTGCGACGCTCTATGATTTAAATTCATCGCAGAAAAAAAGGTAACAGTTAGTAGTGAGAATCATAAATAGCTTCATATCATTCCTAGGAAAATATGTACGAGTACAAACCAGCATATGCAGGATGCAAAAACATTAGTTCAGACAAACTTATTGGTATCGAGAAGTTCAGAAAACATACGCACGTCTGTATTTCTAATATAAAACAAGCGGTCTTTTCTAAATCATGCCGTTTGCTTGACGGTGTTTTTGTAGTTTACCCACCGGAACACGGCAGTTAACCAGAGCACACCTCAGTTACCGCGCACTGTTGGGCTGATAAAGCTGTCAAGCTATTTACCAATACCAGTTGCCTTCACTTTCACAAGAAACTTATAATTTCTGTACATGTCATAGCAGAAGTACAGTGCGAATGGCGGTAGAATGGATTTCGTGAATTCAATCACAACGAAAGTGATCTGCCCTTAATCATCCCGGACATCGAACCCTTGAAATATAACTATTTGATCACATTGAACTTGAAAGTATTTTAGCAATGTAGTATGTTCATGAGAAAATAATGTCAAATAGGAAATTCTCTACAACCAAAAAAAAGGTAATCGCACGTTTCCGTGTAATTCACTCGAAAATTTCGTCGGTGAACTTGGATTTCTGTGTCAATGCACGGAGTTCATACCTCGCAAATAATACTTCATAATTGAAATAAAACACATACCATTTAATAAGTTTTATTAAATTTGGCTGGTTTGAGAGATAATATAAAACACGCCCTTACGAACTGTTTAATACGTTCCTTTAACCTGCTGAAATCCTTGAGTGGACTTGTGCCCAGCTTCCATTTTTGGAACTGTCCACTGTTAATTTTAGGTATATACAGATGAAACAGTAACTTCTCACCCCGGAGCGTGCTCGTCGCTGAGAAGGCACATATGACATCGGCAGAAGATTCGAAGGTTTTGGATGGCGCAAAAAGTTCAGAACTTGTACTGCGGACCAGCTGTCGATGTCGTGACTAATACCGAGGAGAGTGCCCCTACAATGTAGACAGAGACGTCGAGGATGGTGCGCTAGACGGCTTGTAAGGCAGGCCCTTTGCTTGGCACGAACAGTCCCTTTAAGGGCTACCTGCTTTCATTATTGTCTCGGGTTTCTGTACATTTAGGGTAACAAAGGCTTTTTAATATGTGGCGTCAACAGGATAATAATTAAAGGGATATACAGACAAAATTTTCATTCCTTCGTCGTTAACTTTTTCATACATTATTCTGTAAATGTCCTCAAAATAAATGCACTAGACAGTCACAGGAACTAAACTTTTCTCCCTATTAAGAATAAAATGGTGGTTTCCTAACTGGACCCCTGTGGGCCAGGTTAGACCGTTGAGATTTCAAAATAGTTGTCACAGTAAACTTTGGAAACGTTTAAGAACATGTCAAGTGAATGGTTTAAGTTTGTTTCAATCATACAATATCCACAATATCTGTTATTGTAACTTTAAGGGTTTGTTCAAGTCACATGACTAGTTTTAAAAATACTCGGTGATTCTGTCAGCGTCTAAATTTTTTTCAACATATAATATAGATATATTTATGCTTCAAACCCAAAATATATAGAATTTATACAGAAATTCATGTTGGAACTTTAACAAATATCATTTTAGCGTGATTTGAGTACTAAGATAGTTTTGATATTTTTGTCATTTATTTGCCTGAGTATCCCTTTAAACAAATACATAAACAAACAACATGCAAATAAAATAATATGTAATAAAGCAGGATTATATAGATTTCTGTTATATACATTGTAATATGAAATTCTAATTCATGAAGTAATTTCGAAAGTTACAAATGCAAATTTTACGGAAGTCGACGAACGAATTAAGTTTCATTTAAAAAAAGATTGACTTTAAAAAGGTATATCCCAAATTAAAGAAATGTATAAACATTTACAATTCTTATATTGATTAATATGTTTTATGGAAATATTACCATTACAAGATATGGTAATAAATAAGACTAAAGGTTCTTGATTTACCATTTTATCATTATATTTCTACCTTGTTTTTTATGGAATAACGACTAATTTTGCTTATTTTGACATATCTAAGTTTATTCATTTGAACAAAGTGAATTCCGTATCATAATTAAAAATCTGGAAACAATTAAAGTGATCCCTTAGATAACTTATTTGTTCACTTTAGAATAATATTACCAGATCTCTTTTAATCTTTTAAAAAATCAGCATATATCTGTAAAGTATGGCTTCTTTTTTTTAACACAAACATACATTTATCACATTAAATTTAGTGCGAGGCATAATTCAAACACGTTAAAACAGACAAGAAGCTTAGTCACATAAACAATACTTTAAACGTCTGTACAGCGTTAACGACTGAATAAAAGATATTAGTGTTCGGATTCATTTTCTTAGTTAGACCATTTTCTTTCATTCTAGATAGTTTTCACAACAAAATTCGACAAAAAATTGTTTTTATTTATCAGATTTCAAACAAAATGGCGCCTTCGATTTTCATTTTTTATACACAGCTTCCGTTATTCTGGTTCCCTGCCCAATTATGGTTCCCATAGACGTGCGCGGGTGACCAGTCTACACATCCGTTTTCAGTCAGAATTCCTCAGTTTTTATCGTTATCTTTAAATTCGAAAGGTTGCGATGTGTCCAATTCGGTACTTTGGACGAAAGTTTTCAAAACCATCACTTAGCAGGTACTCGCGTTACCGTAAAGCTCGCTTTGCGAGCAGGCCCTTCGGGCCAGCTCGTCGAGCTCGCTATTAAAAATACCTTCATGAAAATACTATATGTTCGAAAATAAGATAAGGTACTCGCGTTACCATAAAGCTCGCTTTGCGAGCCGGCCCTTCGGGCCAGCTCGTCGAGCTCGCTAATATGAAAAAGGCAAAGCCTCAAAGCGAGCTCGATGTACTTTTAACGTGAAATAGTATTAAATAATCGCGCATTTTATTTCAAATGCATTGACGAGTGCGTGTGAGGTAACACGTACTGTGTTAAATATGGCTCCGCCCCTGTCGTTAAATGAATAACGAGTTTTGAAAACGTTGATAAAACTGTTTATTATATACTTATAAATGAAATATTGAGAAATATTGATGAAATAAAATGCGTATTTTCATTTTCCGTATTTTCACTGTAAAAATTTATTTTTCACTGCAGTGAAACATACTTTCCGTATTTTCACTGGTGTCTTGCCGGACTACTTTCTTTTAAATTCTACCAGTACACAAAATTTAAGGGAAAGTTTTTCAAATTTTATCGCAAAAGGAGAAAAATGTACATAATAAACAGAAAATTCAAGTTTTTTCTATAAATACATGATTTATTTTCATCTTGTGGCATGAAAATAACCATATTTCACTCGTGGCTACCGCCACTCATGAAATATTTATTTTCATACCACTCGATGAAAATAAATCATGTATTTATAGAAAAAACTTGAATATCCTCTATTTATTTCATTTCACTCTATAATTTTTCAAGCGAAATAAAGATTATTAAAAGTGAAATAAATGTAAAACTTAAAACGTTTGCGACATTAAAATAGCGTACTTGATTTGTTTGTTTTGCACGTGCTGTTTGGCGCTACATTGTGACGTCACGTAAACAATACTTTAAACGTCTGTACAGAGTTAACGACCGAATAAAAGATATTGGTGTTCAGATTCATTTTCTTAGTTAGACCATTCTCTTTCATTCTAGATAGTTTTCACAACAAAATTCGACAAAAAATTGTTTTAATTTATCAGATTTTTCAAACAAAATGGCGCCTTCAATTTTCATTTTACATTTCCGTTCTATATTTTATCGACAGCTTCCGTTATTCTGGTTTCCTGTCCAATTATGGTTCCCATAGACGTGCGCGGGTGACCAGTCTACACATCCGTTTTCAGTCAGAATTCCTCAGTTTTTATCGTTATCTTTAAATTCGAAAGGTTGCGATGTGTCCAATTCGGTACTTTGAACGAAAGTTTTCAAAACCATCACTTAGCAGGTACTCGCGTTACCGTAAAGCTCGCTTTGCGAGCAGGCCCTTCGGGCCAGCTCGTCGAGCTCGCTATTAAAAATACCTTTCTTTCTTTTACTGGGGGGTTCAGTAAGTCTGCGTCAATTCAATATTTGTCCAACTTTATAAGAAATCGAGGCGCTACTGTTTCAATGATCCGCAAGTTTCCAATGCGTAAATCACCAAACAAAGTGATAATAAGGTTAAATTTAGAGGCGAATGAAAATGCTGACTTAGTACTAGATCCGGGATTTTGGCCAAGGGGAATAACTTGTTCGCCATGGTTATCGCGCACAGAAATCA